CTGGCCCTAATGAGCTCATTATCCTCCCTCCTTAAGGAGGCCATTGTGGCCTGGTCACCCCGGGGAGAGCAGTGGCCTGGGAGTGCCCATCACTTCCTCTCACTTCCTGCCGCCCCCAGCCAGCCTCCACTGCTTCCAGAAGCTGAGGCCTCCGGCTCCGGCTGCTTTCTTCTTTCCATCCACTCTCCCCCTGCCCCCTCCTCCCCGCCAAATGCCTTCTTCCTCTGTCTTCATCTCTCTGGCCTGCTCTTTTCCTTCTCTTGTCCCTCCTTTCCTCAATTCGTGTCTCAGTCCCACCCCCCACTCCTCCCCCTGCCAGGCCGGCCCAGTTAGAGTCCATTCCCAAAGGTTTTTAAATAGGCTCCCCAGGTGAAAAACAAAACCACTAAGTGGCTCACTGAAGATTACAAGTGGGTTGAGGGAGGACACCTCACTCCTGGGGCCAAGGCCTGGTGGTCTCATTTCCTGAGGTGCTGGGAAGACCTGACGGTGCTTCCCCTCTCAGCCTCTGGACCGAAAGCAGCATGCTGCTCCTGAGGCCCGGCAAGCAGGGCTACTTTCACACCACACAGGGGACATGGCTGCTCCTTCCGGGCTTTTTGTCTTAGGAAGGTTGGGTCCTGTGGCACTGCAGAGACCAGGGCCTGCTGACAGGCAGTGTGCAGCGCGGGCTGGGTTTGTTGTTGTTGTAGATAGTTCTCCAGCCGGGGGCTCAGTTGGAGATCAGGCTTCTGATGTCAGGTGTACAGGAAGTATAATTGAAGGTCTCCCTGAAGGCTCCCATTTCAGGACTGAGCCTGGGAGCCGTACCCCTGCCTCACTGCCTAGGCACTAGAATGGGAACATGTGCTTAAGCAAGGGCTGGCAGATGCCACAGGGCTGAAGGGCTATGCCATGGAATCTCCCAGCCAGCCCACAACCCTCGGCTGCCCCCACTGTCTCCCGCTGTCTCCACGCTCCTGCCTGACTCCTCCAAGCCATTCTTCCTTGCTGCTTCCCTTCTACCTGGAAACCCACGGTCTGCTCAGGGAAGAGGCCAGGGTGTTCCAAGCCTTCCACGGAGGCCAGGTCCTGCAGTAGACATGAAAAACGCATGAGGGGGCCGATCTGGCCCAGGGTGGGAGTATTCTGTCATTCAGGAAAGCAACTTGTTGCCATTTAGTGGGCACCTGCTGTGTGCCAGCCCCCTGCGCCGCCTTCGTTTCCTCTAATCCCTGCTCCAGCCTGCAAGGCAGATGGTGTTTTTACCCTTCCATAGATGAGGAAACAGAGGCTCAGAAAGATGAAGACACTTTCCTGAGGCCGAAGAAGTGAGGGTGGGATTCAGACTCATGTCTCTGGCTCTTCCCCTCTGTGCCTCGGTGTCCTACCCTAGAGACAACGTAGACTTGGTACTTAGAGTTTAAATGACAGTATAGTCGAGAGTTGTACTGGAAGCTAATGGGGGTTTGCAGATCAGTCAAGGAAGACCTCTTGGAGGAAACAGGCTGAAGTATGGACTTCAAAGAATGAATTAAATGTGGGGCTGGGAAGGTGGCTCTGTGGTAGAGTGCTTGCCTTGCATGCATAGGGCCCTAGGTTCCATTCCTCAGCCCCACATAAGCAGAAAAGGTTGGATGTAGCGCTGTGGCTCAAGTGGTAGAACACTAGCCTTGAGCTGGAAAGCTGAGGGACAGTGCCCAGGCCCAGAGTTCAGGTCCCACAACTGACAAAAATAAAAAAAAAAGAGGGGCTGGGGAGGTGGCTCAGTGGTAGAGCGCTTGCCTCACATGCATGAGGCCCTGGGTTCAATTTCTCAGTTCCACATAAGCAGAAAAAGCCAGAAGTGGTGCTGTGGCTCAAGTGGTAGAACACTAGTCTTGAGCTGAAGAACTGAGGGACAGCGCCCAGGCCGAGTTCAAGCCCCACAACCAACAAAATTAAATAAATAAATAAATAAAAATAAAAAAGAATGAATTAAAAGTGGAGAAGAGAAAGGAGGTCATAGGAGATTGGTCCTGGAGAACTGTGTGAGCCAAAGGAATGAAGCCAGGCTAAAAGTGGCTCTGAGAATTTGAGCAATGAGGGGAAATGCCTCCCTCCAGCTAACCTCCCTTCTTGCCCCATTTCCCATCCTTCTCTACTGCCATGGATTGCGCTCATTGAGGAAAAAGCAAGCAAGCCCACCAACTAGACCTTCCATTGTGCCAAACCTCTAAACTGCACCCCCCCACAGTCAGATAATTACACCTATCTGCAAATTAGCTCACAAGGATGCACTGCCGCCCGACACACGTCTGTGTGAGTGGCAGACTGACACCCCCACCACCCATTGGGTACTAACAGCCACCAGCACACAGATAATAGCTCAGCCTCAGGGCTTGTGTGTAGTGTGTCTCACTCCCCTCTGCAGCTTTGGGAGATAGGCTACATTCACTACTCTCATCAGAGGGGAGATTGGGGCTCAGAAAGCTTTAGTAACTTGTCCAAAGGCACACAGCTAGGAGTTAGCAAACAAGGATAGTATAGGAGCCATTCTAACTCCAGATCCCTAGTACATGTTGCTGCTCAGGTGTACAGATGCACACCTCTCTACTCATGGCGTGCACACATAAGACATGCTCAGTGGCAGGGGCCTATGCAGAATACCAGGTTTCAGGGACACAGGTGCATCAGGCCAGGTGCCTGACTGGAAGACTCCTTCTCTGTGTTTGGCTGTATTGTGTGTGATATCTGTGTGCCAGCCCTGGTTTTACTCCCACCCACAAACAAGATGCACATGTACATAGCACACCTCTCACAGACTCAAACATGTGCCTGTATCCATGTAGCACACACACACACACACACACACACACACACACACACACACACACACACACACACACACACACACACACACACACTGCAAGAAAGGCCACACAGCTCTACAGGCATCGGAGGGGAGCAGGAAACCCTCAGGGGCTTACTGACAGATGCCAGCACCCTTTGGTCAGGCGGCCACACCCAGGAGTTCCAGTTTTGTCTGCACCTCATGCATCCGCAGTGGCTTTGGTCACCAGCCCCCATGGCAGCAGTTGGCATCTGGGAGTAGCCTGTCAGTGACTGTGGGTGGGTGCAGGCCCGGGGAGTCATTCCAGAAGCCCCAGCTGTGTGCTTTGTGCCAGGCATCTCAGGAGGTCTTGCACAGACAGGCGAGTGCCTCTGCCGTGAGCGCCGCCGCTCTCCAGGGTAGAGTTTGAGCCTGTCCATCTTGGCTCAGCGGAGGTGGCAGGGCATCCTCTGGCACAAGAAGGGAGCTAAGGCTGGAAGCCTCGTGGCCCAGCTCTGTAAGAGTTGGGGCGGGGGTAGAAGCAGCCCCGGTGAGTATTCTGAGGAAGGCTGGCAGGGACCATCAGCCCATGAGGATGGCGAGTCTCTGCCCAGCCCTGTGCTGGAGCCGCAGCAGGAGAAAAGGATCCTAAAATGGCTGGGCTGGGGGGAGGAGACAGCTCTGGGCATGTCCCAGCCCCTGAGAGTGAGGAGTAGAGGAGTGTGGTAGGCTCTGCCAAGGCCTGACACCAGAGGTGGGAGAAGGGACTGGGCCTGCCCCTTCACCCCTGGCTTCTGGAGTGGTAGAGAGCTACCAGAAGATGCTTCCCCGAATTCTTAGGAGACATAGGTTTAGAGCCATAGCAAGAAGCGAAGGAAATTATACCTGTAGCAGTGCTGCTTTCAGCAATTTGAGGCGCGGGGGTGGGAGTGGGGAGGGGGGGAGGGGGAAGAGGGTTTCCCTTGTTCTTCCTGCCTGATGCTCTGTGACTCCATGATGCAAGCTGCCTTCGTTATGCTTGTCTGGCATGTACCAGAGGAAGGCCTTGGTCACTCCAGTTGTGAAGCCTGAGGAAGGGCTAGACCTGGGGTCTGTGATCTTTTTCTCTCCAGACAGAGCTGGAGGCCCATTCCAGGTAGCCAGCAGGGCTCCTAGATCATGGTATCTGAGCTTACTCAAATACCAGGCCCAATCAGGGATTCCCCACCATGCCTCAGGCAGCCACTCACTGCTGTGGAAAGTGTGGGACTCTCAGTCATGGCCTGGAGAGAAGCTCCAATCCTCCAACAGGAAGTGAAGAAGGACCAGATTATATGGGGGTTGGGGAAAGATCAGACAGGGACAGGGGCGGGCGGGGGGCAGGAGAAGACAATCCTGGGGAAAGGTCTCTGAGAAAGGATGGTAGAAGGAGGAGCAGGTCACACACTTTACTAGTGACCAGTTTATTTTGTTTTGTTTTGGGTTTTTTTTGCCTAAACTTTTTATTTTTTTAATCTACTTTATTGCTATTTTAGGGGTGATATACAAAGGGTTACATTTACAATTGTCAGGTAGCCCAGGTACATTTCCTTTCGTACAGTGTCATCTGTTCCCTCATCCTCTCCCATTCCCTCCCTCCCATTTCCATAACTAGTTCTTGAATGAACAAACAAAAGAGTAAGTCACATGAATGAACAAGTGACATGAATGAGCCTTTATCATGTGGCTGTGGTCCTCGGGGTCACTTGAGGATGCAGTGACAACATACTTCAAAGGCCGCGGAGGGGAGCTGAAGGGAACACACTGCTGACCCGTGCCCAGGAAAGGAAAGCGCTGACCTCTAGAGGCTCTGTGAGGTGCTCAGCTCATGTTCCTCAGAGCAGAGGAAGCTGCCCAGCTTCAGGGGCCATGCATGGACAGCCAGAGCTCAAACACACTGGGCCTTTCCTGCAAAGATGCTTTGCACTCATGAGATAGACCCTGCTGTCCATTTCCTTTTTTATTTCTTCATCAAATGTATTGTAAGAGTGGATAGAGGTTTATTGGCTCTGTTCTCTAGGAGTGTGTTGGTCTTTTGTGCAGATTCTTCTAGGCCAGGTGTTTGCCAGGTGCTGAGGCTGGCTGACTCGGTGCCCTGCCCGCTGGCTGCTCCTTCCCTCTTCATCCTGACCCAGCCTGCCTCCACCATCCTGCAGGCTCTCATGGCCCCTTCTCTCTGTCCCTTCTGCAGGCTGGTGGTTCGTGAGCACCTCTGAGGAACAGGGCTGGGTCCCTGCCACCTACCTGGAGGCCCAGAATGGCACAAGGGATGACTCGGACATCAATACCTCTAAGACTGGGGAAGGTAAGGTTGTGTAGGCTGGGCTATGGTGCCCGCTGTGGCTGGGGGTCAACCCCTTCCTGGGAGCTCTCCCAATCTTGCTCCCAAAACAATCTGAACCACCAAAGTGCACTGGGCCATACTGGCTCACAGAGACCAACCCATAAGATCACCTACCCACACCCCAGCGTGGGGCTAAGAACACGTGCCAGCTCGGGCAGGTCTGTGGCTTCCCCTGGCGTGGGCAAGTTCCTTGGAGTATGGTCCGAGGCTTTGACAGCTTTGGGGGACAGACTGAGGAGAGCAATCTCAGAACTCAAACTCCTCAGAAAGCTGCCTCCCTCCCAGAAGCTCCTTCTGAGGACCCTACAGAGACCTCCCACTGCTCCCAGACCCTCCTGCAGCAAGATAACCCCAAGGGGGCATGGGGACACAACTCCCACTCTGCATGTGTCCTACCCGGAAGCTCCCTGTACTGGGTGCCAACTCAGACAGGTCTGTGAGCACCTCTTTGGCATCTCAGGGACTGATTGGGGCACAGGCCCTTGCACAAGCAGCCTCTCTGATTACCTCTGGCTCCATGAGGTTCTACTAGGTACTTCTCTCTCTCTACATTTCCAGGACCTGCCCCAGCCCTGTAGGCTAGCACTAGCCCAAGTTAAGTCTGAGCCACGCCCCTACCAATACTACACTCCCTCTTAGTTCCTGGCTGCCTGCTCCTAATGCCTTCCAAACCTCCCTCGGCCTGGCAGCAAGAATCCTTTCCCTAACGGTCTAACAGTGGAGATGATCCAGATGGACCTGTCTTTGAGCCAGAGAGATGTAGGCCTGCCACCCGGGACTCAGGCCACCTCCAGGCCTGCTCCTCTCACCCCTACCTCCCTGCTATCCAGACCAAAATAAGAAGCTTACCAAGTGCCAGCTCCTTATTCATCCTTCTAAATGTCGGTTCCTTGGCTGGCGAGTAGCAGCTGAAGGAAGCCCCACCCTTCTTCCTGGGCCCATGCTGTATTTCAGCTTCGTGATCAGAGCCAGATCTCTGCCGTGCACACTCACCTTGTGACAGGTCTCTGGGGCCAGGGACCCATTGGAAAGGGTTAGAGTATCCAGGCTGCTCACTAAGCCATGGAAAGCAGGGTTCAAAGTGTCCCTCTGGTGCTGTGATATGAAGGCCATGGCCCCTAGGCAGAATGGGTCCAGTGTGGTTGTCAGCCCTCACCTCCTACCTTACCTACTGCTCTCTGAGGTAGCTCCTGACAGCTGTTGTCAGTACAGGCAAAGGCCTCAGATGCCCTGGTCATCACCCTGGGCATCTGAGTGTTGCCATCCCTGTATTTCTAGCTGCAGGGGCTCAGGATTCTAGCTGTGGCCTTATCACCAGGCCACTCTGAAATGCCTGCTTTGAGCAGGGAAAACTGCTCTGGGCTTTACTGACAAGGAGTATGTGCTACATCAGAAGAGCAGAGCAGAAGTGTTGGGTAGGGGTGTAGGCTTCAGACACTGAATGTGAAGAAGGCCAGGGAAGGAAAGACACACACACACACACACACACAGAGTATGGGAGCACAGTGCCAGCCTGGTTAGAACAGGACATGGGTACTTTGCATGGAACAAGTGCTAGTGGACCGATGGAGGAAGAGTCAGAGTGGCCAAGCAAGTGCAATAATCCGGAGGTGTGTGTGCAAGTACACCCAGCGTGTCCCTCCCCCCTCCCTAGAGCTTTGGTAGGACTGTGTGCCAGCATCACTGGCCACATGTAGACAGCTGTAGATTCCATACCTGAGCATCTCCTCCTGCCCAGATCCACAGTAGGATTCAGGGCAGGCTGCCACAGCCACGATGCTTTTTGTCCAACTGTCTGCACTTGCTGCCTTGTGGGTGTTGGTGACTCAGCTTTTTAGCACCTTGGGCCCCTTCCCACTGGTATAGGGGGTCTAGTGCTGACCAAAAAGGCTTTTGTGAAGTTCAGGGGAGATGATCCTCATACATGCGTTAAAACAAGCCTGGAATTGAGGGAGTAAATATCTGTAAACATCAGTTATTGTGAAGATGGTCTCCATCGCCTGCCCAATGCCTTTCTGTCCCCACAGGACCTGAATAATGTGCCCAGATCTTTGTGGCCCTTGCCACGGCCTGAAATATCATCCTATGACCGATAAGGAAATAGGCATAGGGATGGCAAGCCTCCCAGGGTGACCTGTTTGCCAGTGGTTGGTCTTAGTTAAAGCTCACACCTCCTAACCTGTAGTCCAGGCTGTAAAGTAAGGGGCTAATCACACAGGTCATTCTCCTCCCAGGGAGAGCAGATATCCAGAGACAATCTCATTGGAGTTTGATTAGTTGGAGGTGGACAGTTTCACTTTCATTCTAACCATCAGTCGGTCTCCCTGTCCAGGACCAGGCAGCCTAGCAGCATCCTTCTGTGGTGCCAGGAGGGGGAGCCAGCTGGCATCCTGGAGCCCAGGTCTAGTCCGTGCCCTGGGACTCCCCGGAGGCAGTCTAGCTTGAGCTGGGCCTGAGTGCAGGAGTGCATGAGGGCTTGGGGCTCGCCTCAGAAGACCAGTGTGGGATCCACACAGTGAGTGCAGTCCAGGCAAACTGCTCTTGAGCAGTGAGAATCTTGGAAGCCTCAAATCTCTGTCATCAGAGACCCAAACAGATGACATGAAGCTGCAGTGCTGGGCTTGTGACATGGCTCCTTGTGTGTTTCATTTGGCAAGTCTTTCCTAGGCCAGTGCCCGGCACTGTGCCAGGCCCTGAGGACACAGAGGTACAAAGCAGCAACAGCGCCATCCCCAGACTCAATCCAGCAGGGACCACGAAGAAGGGAAAGACGAGCTGGGTGCTAGTGGCTCACGCCTATAATCCTAGCTACTCAGGAGGCTGAGATCTGAGGATCGTGGTTCAAAGCGGTTCAAAGCCAGCCCAGGCTGGAAAGTCCGTGAGACTCTTATCTCCAATAAACCACTAGAAAACCAGAAGTAGTATGTGGCTCAAGCAATAGAGTGCTCGCCTTGAGCTGAAGAGCTGAGGGATAACGCCCAGGCCCAGAGTTCAAGCCCCACGACCGTCCAGAAAAAAAAAAAAGGGAAAGACGTGAACTCACCCAGTGTGAGAGGGGGACCTGTGAGCCTGCAAAGATGGGGAACCCCAGTCTCCCCTGGACATGCTGTTCCCTCTTTGTCCTGCCCATGGTGGCAAGTTCACAGTCACCATTAGTGAATGAGTAGATGTCAGCCCAGGCGCTGTGGGACCCACAGCCTCCTGGGAACCGTCACTGTCTAGGCCTTGGAGGAGCCTCTGAGGGGTTGCCACACACAGGGCTGACTTGAGGGACTCTTCCTATTTATTTATTCATTCATTTATTTATTGGTAGTCATGGGCTTGAACTCAGGACCTGGGTGATGCCCCTCAGCCTCTTCACTCAAGGCTGGAACTCTACCACTTTGAGCTACAGTGCTGCTTCCAGTGTTCTGGTGGTTGATTGGAGATAAGAATTCTCATAGTCTTTCCTGCCCAGGCTGGCAGGAATCCTCAGATCTCAGCCTCCTGAGTAGCTAGGATTAACAGGTGTGAACCACCAGGGCCCAGCTCTACTCTTCCTTTTTTTTAAAGACACTGAGATCAGAGGCATAGGAGTTTATGGAAGGGTTTAGCTTTGGTTGACTTTTTGCCTATAATGTCACCCCCATCCAGACCCACCCCCTTCCAGCCCGGGTGTGTTGTCCCTCAGCTCAGCCCCACTGATGCTCACCTCAGCAGCATGGACACATCTCCCTTCCTCCGTCCTTCCTTCCCTCTTGTTCCTTCCTCCTCCCCTCCCCCACCCATCTCATCCTCATCTCCATTTTCTCCACCGGTTCGTGTCGGGCATGTGCTCCATCACCATCTCTCACACCAGTGTCCAAGAGACGCAAGGCCCATCTGCGGCGCCTGGATCGCCGGTGGACCCTGGGCGGGATGGTCAACAGACAGCACAGCCGAGGTGATGCGCCCACCGCTCCTCCCCCACAGCTGCCCCTTGTTTCTCACTAACACCTCCTCTGCGCTCTGCTGTCTGTCTGCTGTGGGCATTGCAGCTGGGAGTGGGAAGGGGCCTGGCTCCTGAGTCTCGGGGTGCTACCAGGGGTGGCTGTCTCTCTAGCTCGCTATTTTCCTGGGAATGGGGGTCATGAGACTTATGACATGATATGGGTCCCCCATCAAGGTGAGTTCTAAAGAGAAGGATCAGGGGGAGGAGGGAGTCTCTGGGTCTCTAAGAAAGGCTATACCTGTCCTAAGCATTGCAAAGTTAAGGCCCAAGGGTCAGTCAGTCCCTGCAAGACCCTCCACTCCCCTGCCCTTTATTGCCTCCTTCCACTGAGAAAGACTCACTGAGCCAAAGCCATCCTGCCAGCTTCTTGGGGGTTGAGTAGAAAGAGGACTAGCCTGCGTCCCTCCTTCAACCAGGAAAAGCTTGGAAGCCAGAGCCAGCCTGGCACCAGGGTACAGCCCCAGCCAGCGCTGAAGAAGATAAGGCCTCTGGGATTTCAGGAGGGACCCGATCAAGAGGATTCCAGGGAGGTACCTGGCCTGCCTGTGGGCTGATGAGGGAGCTGAGACATTTTCTGATTCACAGCATTTTGGCCTAGATCTTTCCCAAAGTCCAGGAATTTGGGAAATGAGGGAGAGCAGAATGGGTCTCTGGATGCAACCATGAGCATCTGCAGATTCCCCTACCCAGCCAGTGGGTGGCCAGTTTCTCTTACCCCATAATGTGAGCCTCTCACAGTGACAGCACAGCTGGAAGCAGCTCCTCGCCACTCCTCACCCCTGAGCGGGGAAGGGGCGCAGTGAGCGCTGGGCTTGCTGGGATTCAGGGGTGCCCCGGGACTCACACCCCCATCCTCCGTTGTTTCCCAGTGACACTGAGAGCATGTTTTAGTGTCTGTTCCAAGCTCAAGGCAACACAAGGTCTGAATCTTGGGTGGCCACAGCCCAGAGCTGGCGCGGAGTCAGCCTCCGGCTCAGCTCAGAGCTCGGAGCATGAGCAGCCCAATGTGGGCTTGAACCCTGGAGACTGAAGCAGGGCAGAGCTGGGCTGTAGAAACAACAGAGACTGAATGTAAAGCAGAAGCCAACCTAAAGCCAGGAGGGAGGGGACAGGTCTACTGGGAGGCTGTTAGGACAGGAGTTTGGCCTGCTGCACATACCATCACATTGCTGAGCCCAACACACGAGCACACGGATCCCCGCTGTGTGAGGTCCACACCTGGGCACCTCTGGCACACCACAGGTGTAATGGGAACTGCGGTACCAGTCTCCCCCCAGCTGTGTCTCCGCAGTCCTGTGCACACAGCCACTGACAGACACACGTCTGTAATTCCAGTTACGTCATCATACGTAGATAGCCCCCAAGTGTTACATACACAGTCACGGATGCCTTATATATGTAACAATGGCTCATTGTATATACTCGTCTGCAGCAGCACCCACAGTGTGTATACAAATAACCCTTCATACCACGTACACATAGGCTGTGTATTCAGATCCACAATTATACATGTAGACACAACTCAATACATAATTGTCCAGTCACTCATATTTAAGCAAATATAAGCACATACCTTATACTCTCTCTCCCCCCCCCCCAACTCTCTGTCAAAGACACCTAAGCAACACAATTTCCCAGCCTCAGTCCTATGGGCTATCTTAAATCAGGAGCCAAGAAAAACTTGCAGAGAGCTGGCTGGGAGACAGTGCGTGCTCTGGGAGCAGTAGAGCGGGTCACAGAGTAACTAGACCAGAGAAGGCAGTGCTTCCCCGGGCCTTCCCTCCCGAGCCCTCAGCCAGCCAAGCAAAGGCCTCTCCTCGTGGAGGGGAGTGTTTCAGGGAGTTGCGGGGGCCAGGAGGGGAGCCTCAGAGACTGCTGACAGAGGGGAAAGTGCTTGGAAAGAGGAGGCTTCTGTGGTTTGGAAACTGCAGGGTTTCCAGCCCCTGCCTCCAAAACCAGAACGGCCTGTCCATCTCTCCCAGTCTGCTGGCCACTTGGCCAGCCCTCCCCAGCCCAGGGATGCCACCATCACTGCATGGCAGATCATGGCTCCAGACTCTACACATCCCTAAAGGCCTGACTAGATTCTGAGCACACGGCAAGCCTCCTCTTACCTGTTTCCTAAGCAGTGTCTCTGACTCCTGCAGACTCTAGCCAACCATAGGAGGCCGTTTCCATCCTTCTGGGCGTTCCCTTGTGTGGCCACTCCCCTGGCAGTGAAGTTGGTGGCAGTAGAGGGCTTGTCTCTGCTTGTTCCGCAGCTCACCTGTGAGTTGGGAGGACTGAGACCCATGCATCCTCTAGGATACATGGCTGAGCCATCTAGGGCAGAAAACCACCTGCTCAAAGGGGCAAGAAGGAAGTGTTGGTTTGACTTCCTGGCCTCCCCTGAATTCTCCTGTGGAACCTCACAGTGGCCAAGGCAGAATGAGCTCCCATGGCACTGGGGGGGGGGGGAGACGTTGGAAATGCAGCCACTCAGCCCCCAGAACAGGGCCCTTAGTAGGATCAGCTCAGCTTTTACAGTCAGAATCAATATCTGTTCCCACTTCTGGGAGGTTAGGCAAAGCAAGAGCCGACTCAGTCTGCCAGATACTCTCTAAGAGGCTGCTATGGCAAGTGGTGGCTTTGCGAGGCTGCGCCCACGCTGGATGGTCAGGGCCCAGTTGTAGGCCGTGGGGCAGGGCGAGACTCCTGACCTCCCTCAAGAAAGGCTGTCCTTCTTCTCTGCAAAGGCAACCTTGCCTAGAAAAACTATCATGATGGCTTCCTGCTCAAACCACAGGGTTTTAAAAATAGCCCAACTGAACAAAGGCAAAATGTGGACCTCAGGCCTTGGATTCTCCAGGCTTGGCGCAGCCTCTCTGGCCACCTCCTGGGCCAGGATTTACCGTGGCCCACTGGAAAATGGAGCAGGACCAGAAGCAGGCAGGAGAACGTGGAACTTCTCCAGGGCCCAAGTCAGAATTGGCTAGGTAGCGTTCTCAGGCAGCCTTGGCAGCAGTCCTGGGCTGGGCCAGAGTGGAATCTGAAGGCCCTACAAGCAGAACCCTCTCTGGTGGATGCTGAGAAAGGCCAGCGTGGGAGAGATGCTTCCCGCCCAGCTTCCCGTGCTGAGGATGGGTGCATCCCGTGGCCCATCCATTTTGTCCCTACAGCATGGCAGGACAGCCCCTTGGGAGCTGATATCTCAGCCCAGCTCAGGGCTACACACAGGACCCCGATAATCCAGGGGAGGATGAACAGAGGACCCTCCACAGCAGGGATTTGGGGTGGCAGCCGTCTCCCTGCCCCCCTATACACAGCTGCCAAAGGCCCAAGCAGCCTGGGTCCAGCTGAGCAGTCCAGGGGTGGCTTTCACAGCTGGGAGTCCAGGAGCAGGGCCAGCTTCTTGCTATTTTGAGCTCCTAGAAAGCCTCTCGCTCAGTTCCCCGCTCAGCCCTGCCTGGCCCTGCCTTCCTCCTCGCTAATGGAGTACACAGCTTTTACTGCTGCGTGCCCACACGTCACAGCCTCAGGAGAGCCCCTCGGCTGGAGGTGACCGCAGAGTTCAGGGTGGCTCTCCTGGGAGTGTTCCTAGATCACTGGGTGTACCCCCTCTGTCTCAGCTTGTCCCAGCCTCCTCATGCCTGCGGTGAGCTCTTCCAGAAGTTTCCCAAGATACTTTTAGGTGACTGTGACCAAGAAGACCCAAAGTCACCCACAGAGGGTAGCAGCTCTGCAGGGGGCGGAGCTGCACTGTCACGTGCCTGGCGAGCCCCCGGAGGGCCCCCAGGCAGCAGGGCTGCTGGCAGCTCCACACTCACTTGGCCACAGCTCCTTTGCCTTAACAGACTACACAACCACTCTTGCATGGCTGTGTTCTCTGGGACACTAGAGAAAATTATGTGATGCTCCGTTAATGGTCAGGGATTTAGGGAAGGCCTCACCAAGAAGGTGCTGCTGGAAGCATCTGGAAGTCAAGAGGTTGAGGCAGGGACAGGGCTCAGAGAGCACATATGGGCACCAGATGGAAGCCTGGCATGTTTCAAGAAGGACTAGACTTTCAGGGGAAACCTGGCATTGGTCTCAACTTCATGCCCCATGAGAGGCAGGCTCCTCCCGGCCCTGCCTTCAGTTCAGGGAGCTCCTGGGACCCCCAGCAGCATGGCTAGAAGAGTTGACGTTGTGCTGTCCAAAGCTTCACCAGCAGCCTGGATCCCTGCTGGCTTTGGCATACACTTGGGAGTGAGTGTCAGTAATCCAACCCCATGACCTTTCCACTGCCACCCAAGTCCTGGTCTTTCCCTTCTTTTCCCTATGATGCCAGAGCAGACCCAGGGCACCTTGAGCTAGGGCAGGCCCAGGCAGGAGGGGACGCCCTCCTGCACCCTAACCCTAAATAATCTTGCTTTCTTGCTTTCCCACCCACCTCACAGAGGAGAAGTACGTCACCGTGCAGCCCTACACCAGTCAGAGCAAGGATGAGATTGGTTTTGAGAAGGGCGTCACCGTGGAGGTGATCCAGAAGAACCTGGAGGGCTGGTGGTACATCAGGTAGGAGCCCACGTGCGGCTGCAGGATGCTTCTCTCCCAACCTCGCCCTCCCAGGCTCTGGGCAGCTTCCTGTGTGTGGAGCAGCCATGGTCCCGGGTAGAAGGAAGTTTCCCATGGCAGCCATGCCCCAGCTCTCTGTGGCTGAAAAGCAGAACCTGAGCCCCGGCCTGTGAGGCCCAGGAACCCCGCTCAGCTCAGCTCAGCCCGCAGACACTGGTGCAGCCCTTCCCACACAGCTGCCAAGTGTGCAACAACATCTGAATCTGGTTTTCTGCGTCCGGCCTTGGCTGTCTAGCCTGCTGCACAGCAAGGGTAGCCTGGGGTGTTGGTGTCCAGCAGGAAGCCTCTGCTGCCCACGACTCAGCACTCTGGCCCCAGACATGGGCCTTTGGCATGTGTGTTGTCCCTGGCAGCTGGGGCCATTACACTCTGCAGGGCTGGAGTGGAAGTGGGGCCCCTTCCTCCCAGGGCCCAATCACAGTTCCCAGCTGAGGAGCCCACCCGGGGTATGGGTAGGGAAGTAGAGTAAACCAACATGTGGCCATCACTCACTGTAGCCAAATAAGACCCAGCCTCGCTGCCCTGCAGGAGACCAGCTCCCAGGAAGAGCTGCTGGTTCCTTTGTAGCAGCTCAGCCAGGGAGACTTCTCTCTTTGTGGTCTCTGGGGGCAACCACCTGAGCCTACCAAACCTGACACTCCAGGATGAGGTGCAGGCCAGGGTGTCCACTCTGCTTGGTTCCCGGGTTGTAGGCAGTGTCACCGCTCATACAGCCACTGCCCAAAATGCAGTGGAACATCGTGTAAGAGGTCAGTCTCTGCTGAGAGTTGGGGTGAAGGTCACTGGACCTCACTGATAGCACCTCAGTCCCCCCATTGTCCTCACCCAGTGCCTGTGAGTCAGGAAGACCTGAGATGTCCCTGGTGAGATGAGCCTGTATGTCTGGACATGAGTTGTTCAAAGTCACTGCCCCAAGACTTTCACGTTCTCTAAGCAATGCAAACTAGAACTGGCCCCCAGGACCCACCAGCTATCAGCCTGGGCTAGAAAGGCCAGGATCCAAACATCTTGGCAGGCAGGCAGCCTAAGTCATCCACCTAGAAATGATCTGCAAGCTTGCTTTTTGTTTTCATTTCTTAAGTTTTTGTAAAATGACCAACAAAGTTACTCAGGACTACTTCCTAGTCAGCTATTGTCACCATAGCTTAGTCTTTTTAACTAGCAGGTGATTGAACAGAGAAAACCCCGATGAAACAGTTCCACCTTAAGAAGGCTGCCAGACGCTTTCACATATGCTGTTTCCCAGCTTTGCAGGCTCCATGTTGATCCTCGTTTTCTGTATTTCTTCTCTTCGCCCAGTTCTTTATGTATGCACACTCTCTGTTTTTCTGTCTCCTCTCTCTGTCTCTGTCTTCTCTCACCTTTTCCGATTTGCTTCCCTCTGGAGTTGATTCAGCTTCAGAGCTGGGTAGCAGCTGTGTGCGGTAGACCCAGACACACATAGCCACTCCTGGTGCCCTTACATTTCTCTACCTGGAACCTAGCTCTGTCCATGTAACTCGGAGCCTGGAGCCTAATTTAATCCATATCATGTGAAGGAACACAGAGGCTGTGAAAGGCACTTGCGCTATAAAAAGGTCTAACCATCATCCTGAGGACCTTCTCCCCACTTCTTCCACTTTACATGGACACCAGGAAGGGCCAGGCTCTGGACTAAGTGCTGCCACAGCTCGTTCTGGTGCTTGTTTTGCTATTCTGAGTCTTAGCTCTTGGGTATTTTGTTTTGTTAGTTACTTCTGTCCACTCTTGAAATTTTGTGTTTCTATGTGCACCCATGACTTCCAGAAGCCATCTGTGAATCTGCCTTCCAAGCCAAGATAGGAGAGCCTGGACAACCGGTGTGCACATTCCTGTGATATGAGTACAAGGGGCCAGCTCCTACCTGAGTTGCCCAGCAAAGCTCAACTCTGTGTAGATGAATGAACAGACTAGCTTTCCTGTTCCTTCTCTCCCACCATGTGCTCTCGAGATCAAGGTCACATCAGGCAGGGGGAAAGAGCCATTCCAAAGAGCCAGATGTTGCCCCCAGAAAGCAGATAGGGATATGGAAACAGACTTTGAGACACTGGCTACAATTGCTGGACAAAAAGCAAGCTCTTGCTGGGCACTGGTGGCTCACACCTATAATCCTAGCTACTCTGAGGATCGCAGCTCAAAGCCAGCCCCAGCAGGAAAATCCATGAGTCTCTTATCTCTAATTAATACCACCACCATCGCCCCCACCAGAAAGCAGTAGAGTGCTCACTTTCAGCTGAAGAGCTCAGCTCAGGGACAGCATCCCCACCCAGAGTTCAAGCCCCACAACCAACCAAAAAAAAAAGCAAGCTCTCAGTGGATGTAAGGAAACACTCAGCTCCAAGGGGAAGAAGAGGGGAAATTTTGGTGGGTTTTGTTTGTTTTGTATTTTGTCAGTTGTGGGGCTTGAATTCAGGGCCTGGGCATGCTCTATCATTTTGAGCCACAGCCCCCATTTCCAGTTTTCTGGTGGTTACATGGAGATGAGTCCACAGACTTTCCTGCCTGGGCTTGGCTTTGAACCACAATCTTCAGCTCTCAGCCTCCTGAGTAGATAGGATTACAGGCGTGAGCCACTGAGAATCTTGTTTTAAGAAGTCATTGAGGGCTAGGAAGGTGGCTCAGTGATAGAGTGTTTGCCTTGCATGTGTGAAGCCCTGGGTTCTATTCCTTAGCACCACATAAATAGAAAAGGCCAGAAGTGGCGCTGTGGCTCAGGGGTAGAGCACTATTCTTGAGCTGAAGAGCTGAGGAACAGCGCCTAGGCCCAGAGTTCAGGCCCCACAACTGACCAAAAAAAAAAAAAAAAGAAGTCATTTAATCACCACAAATGAAGTCAGTCCTATCATTTGCCTTCAGTGTTTTGTTTTTTTAATGTGTTTTGTTTTTTGTGTTGACCATTACCAGTGGTTTTAATTTGATCTAGTCATGTGCTTTTCTAGGCTTTTCATCTATGGTTTCTGTTTTTGGAGTCCCACTCAAGAAAGCCTTTTCAACCTCCAAAGTTATTATAAATATTCACAACTAATTTTTATTTTGCTAGATGGTTTAAGGCCAAGTCTTGCTTGGTTTTCCTTACTGGATAATCAGCTGTCTTTATACCACTGAATAATTTTTACCCTGCTGATTTAACAATGTTACCTTTAAGCCAGTTTGTGTGGATTTTCTGTATGAACTGGATCCATCTGCTGTCCCTACAGTGTTACTAGCCCATTCTCTAGTCGGTCAGCCTTCCTTACAGACATCTCCTTGTTGGTTTGGTCCTTCTGTATGCAGCTTAGCAACTCTTAATGTTATCCATGCATTGTGGAGAAGATGAGAGAGACAGAGACAGAGACAGACAAAGGAGGGAGGGAGGAAAAGGTTGAATAAGCTCCAAGGAAGGAACTATAGACTAGAATGCACTTTCCCTCTCTCCCATCCTATAGGACATGTATCTATATAACACCACATTCACCCCCTCTTCATTTCTTGTCTCTAGAACTACCTTGATGTGTTGTAAAGTGATCATGGTAAAGTTGACTTTTTGGGCAACCCCAAGTCTGAGAAATCTAATCTCAAGGTCTCATGTTTTTGCAGAGAAGGAAAGCCCATACCAAGAGAGATGAGGCTTGGTAAAAGTAGCCAGCGGGAAGGCAGTGGTGTCTGAATGTCTTTCCCATCAAACCTCAGCTTTGATTCTCTCTGGAGCAGTGGGCTTGCCACATTTCTAGCAGAGCATGGTAGAGAAGGCTGGGCTAGGTCTGGCCAGATGAGTAGCAGGGTTTTGGAGTGGAGGATGAAATCCAGGCATCAGCCCTCTAATGATGGTGTGGCCTATTCTTTCCACAGATACCTAGGCAAAGAGGGCTGGGCACCAGCATCCTACCTAAAGAAGGCCAAAGATGACCTACCTACCCGGAAGAAGAATCTGGCAGGCCCAGTGGAGATCATCGGCAACATCATGGAGATCAGCAATCTACTGAATAAGAAGACGTCTGGGGACAAAGAGGCTCCGTCCGAAGGGGAAGGCTCCGAGGCACCTATCACCAAGAAGGAAATCAGCCTGCCCATCCTCTGCAACGCCTCTAACGGCAGCGCCCTGGGTATCCCCGAGAGGACTGTGTCCAAGCTGGCCCAGGGCTCCCCAGCAGTGGCAAGAATCGCCCCACAGAGGGCCCAGATCAGTAAGCCACACCTCCGTTTCTGGCTTTTCACTGGCTAACTGGAAATAAGAGTTTCCTGGATTGGTCTGCCTGAGCTGGCATTGAAACTCAGTCTCAGCCTCCTGAGCAGCTAAGATTATCGGCATGAGCCACTGGCACCCGGCTGCCAGCCTTTGTTGTAATCTGGAAGAAAGTTGCTTTTCAGTTTAGCTCTGAGCTCTCTTGGGCAATCATTGGTGACATTTTTATTGGCCACCCTCTGTTGCTTGGCTGTTTGTTCATTTCTAAGGACTTGGTGATGAGCATGAAATAGACATTGTTACTATTCCTGTGATGAATCTACGTGCCCTTAACCGGGCATGATGATGCAAATCTGTAATACCAGCTCATCAGGAGGCAGAGATAGGAGGGTGGAAAGTTCCAGGTCAGCCCAGGCAAAAGATAGCAGAAACTCCCAAAAACAAATACAACTGGGCAAGATCACTCAAGATCCTAGCTACTTGGGAGGCGAAGAGATTGCAGTTCAAGGCCAGCCTTGCCCTCTCCCCCCAATAACAAAAAAGGCTTGGTTCCTACCTTGGCAAACAGAAGGCCCCAAGTTCAAATCCCAGTATAACCAAAAAAAGATGAAAGGGCTAGAGTTCTGGCTGAACTAATGAGCATTTATGTGATGCATGTGGGACAAAAACATAGAGTTGGGGGCACACCCGGGAAAAGCAGCTATAGGCACTGTTGCCATTGCCTGGCTGACAGACCTCTTGTCTCATCTCTCCTACCCAGGCTCCCCAAACCTCAGGACGAGACCTCCACCACGCCGAGAATCCAGCCTGGTAAGGGTCAAACTTTCTCCCTTTTGGTCCTCCTCTGGGTGGCTCTGTAGCTGTACGGACAGATGCGCTGGCTGTCTTACAGCAGAGCTGGTTGGCCCAGAGGTTTTCCAGAGCCCTGCTGGGATTTCCAGCTTTGCAGGGTTGGGGGCAGGGAGGGAGGCCTGCAGATCCCAGGCTTTCTGGGGCCTGGCTGGACAGTTTATAATCGGAAACACACTGCACTCCAAAGCTAAATAAATCCACCCAGCCACTGCACTGGCAGACGTAAACATTTAGACTGGCCAGCAAGAGCATCCCGCCAGGGCATTGCCAGGGGCAGGAAATGGGGCTGCTGACCATATTGGTCCAGAAGCCTGTAAGCTTTGCCTTGCTTTTGGAATGCTGATGGATGTGGGAGACACCAGAGCCTGGGAGAACAATGGGGAGACCGACAAGCAGCCTCCAGGGATGGAGCACACTGCAGGGACTGGCTCCCACTAAAACTTAGAGACTGCTGACATGATGCAGTCTCTGGCTTTTGTGGGCAGGGCATTGTCAGGACTAGCATCTCGCAGACAGACCATTGCAGCAGCTAGGGTTGGGGGGGCAGCTGCCCTGACGGCAAGCAGAGAGTCCCGAACCTCTTACCAGGGGCAGTGGGAGGCAGTGGAAAAATGGGAGCTTCAACCTGTCATATAGGGTTCATATTCCTTAAGAGCAGAGAGACCCTGAGCAAGTCACCTGCTCCCTAGAGTCCTTTCCTTACTCATAAGAGAGGGACAGTAGGCGCCATCACCTAGGGGCTCTTGCAAAGAGAAGATGGGCTGACATATGCAGGATTCCACTGGATTCCAGCTGGATTCTACTTCCTGTGTGTACTCCAGACCACTGGGCAGCATTGCCTGTCGTGCTGGACCCAATGGCACACAGAAGCCGCCTTATGTCAGCGGCACAGTGCTATGATCAGTGGCATCTGCCTTCCATCTGCCTTCAAACATGAGGGGTTTGAATATTGGGTCTTCTCTGGCTACATGGCCTTCCTCTCTCTCTCTCTCTCTCTCTTTCTCTTTTTCTCTTCCCCCTCTCTCCCTCTTCTCCTTCAGCTGAACAATTACATTTTCTCTCTTTCTCCAAGCCCTGGCTCATCATTTTTAGGCAGACTCGATTTGGGCAAGCACAGGGTCATTCCTTCCACACCATACAAAGGCCTGCTGAGACTAGGCTGCTGTTTCTGGTTAGACCTCGCCGAACCCCACCTGCCCAGAGTGCCAGCCTTATCCTTTCAATCCATTCACACACACAGCTGCAGAGTAAGGCATAGCCAGGGAAAATTGACAGACTCACACCAAAGCCCCAAGACAGCTCATTTGACAGGCAGGATGAGGGCCATTGGGGGAAGAATGGGGATTTCAGAATGTCGGACTCAGGCTTCTGTTTCTTGAGCTCTGCCCGTGTCCTTTCCTGGGTCAGAAACCATATGCCTTATCTCAGTATATTCTTTTTTTTAACATTTTTAAAAATTATTACTATCTTTAAGTAGTTATACAAAGAAGTTCCCATTCTACAAAACAGTATATGAATACAAGGTGTCTCTCAGTATATTCTTAACGATCCTGTTCTTAGCTCCATTTTATAGATTTGGCAACTGAGTAGTCAAGGGCCTCACCCAGGGTCACATAGCTAGTGAATTTGCAAAGACACAAATCCAGCAGTCCTTGGGGTCTTTCTGCCACACCACACCACAGCTCCTCCTCATTTTTCAGTTGCTTTATCATAACCTCATTATGTGAGGAAGGAACTAACTAAGAACTCCGTAGCCAGAGTAGAGGCAGGTGGAAGCTAGAAGGAAGCTCAGCTCTACCAGGGCAGGTGTTCTATTTGGTTTACTATTGAATGCTGATGCCTTTGAGAACAGAGTCTGGCGCCCAGTAGACACACAGCAAATGCTATTCATTTCAGCCCATGGCCCAACGGTAGACTCTCTGTGTTGTGTGCCAGAGTATAAGAGGCAGTTAAAAGTTTCATTGTGTTCTACTTGCATGAAGAAATGGGGAGCACTGGGTTTTATTCGGGGCCTGCCTGATCATTAAGACTATCAGGATGACCCAATATTTCTCACCTTATGCCCACAGTCTCCCCATAGTACCACTTTACCCCCCAAAAACAATGGGCTGCCTTGCCCAGCCTCTGCTGCCCACCTGCAGCCCCTAACATGTGGGAGATAGACCCCTGTCAAGCCAGCTGGTGTCCTGCTGTCCAGCTGGTGTCAGCAGCCACACACATCTCCGGGGGCCGGAATGGTACCATTCCTTGGCCTTGTTCCATCCTGATAAGCTGGGTTTTGCCACTGTATTCTCTCTCCACCTCAGGGGTTCCAGCTGCCGAAGCCACCAGAGCCCCCTTCTGTTGAGGTGGAGTACTACACCATTGCCGAATTCCAGTCCTGCATTTCTGATGGGATCAGCTTTCGTGGTGGACAGAAGGCAGAGGTAAGCCTCAGGCCGAGATACAAAGGGTATTACTATACTAATCTCGGTCAGGGACCTGCATTTCTTACCTTATGCTCTACAGGTCAGGCAGGACTTCCATGCTGCACTCAGTTTGGGACACGTAGTGGAATTTCCTAAAGTGTATGTAGGGGCTGGGAATAAAACGCCTGGAAACAATGCCACTGTGGGCATTGAGCTTAGAGGACAGTGGGTGAAACAAAATCCCACCCAGTTCATTTTGGTGGCAGTGTCCACAAGGGGGCAGCCTAAGCTGGATCACCGGGGTCCCTAGAGGGCAAGTGTCCTCACTCACAATTGCCACATGGGCCAGGACACCACCCACCCAACAACCAGAAGTGCCAGTGTTGGAAGTGTCAGAGCTAGTAGGGACCCCGGGCTGGCCAATGCACATCACAGGATCTTTGGCTTCGGTTGTGATTTACCTTCCCCACCATGCTCTGTGTATTTCTACAAAAAAGGTGGGGGATAAACAGACCCCAAGGGACCCCTCCCAAATGACATATCATTCACGCAGCTCTTCCTGGACCCCCAGTAGATACTGGGATCCAGACAGAACCAAGGCTTACATGTATTGTTATTCCCTATACATGCGTGCCTATGATGGTCAACTTCTAAGCTAGGTACCATGAGAGGTTAACAACAACTAGTAAAGTAGAACAATTAGAACAACATACCATGACAAACGTTATTTAAAAGTTATGAACTGTTTATTTCTAGAAGCTTGAATTGTTTATTTATAGAGGCTTCCAGTTGATATATATATATATATATATATATATATATATATATATTATGTATGTATGTATATCCTGCAATTGACCTTGAGTGACTTAAGCCACTGAAGCAAACTTTGGGAGGAGGTGACTGTATTTTGTGTCTCTTGGTACTGAGCATGGTAAAACAGGAGACAGAGAAGAAAGGTGGCTGGATTATCTTGAATGACGCTGTAATTGTGGCATTACATCCACAGAATACTCACTGAGACTCAAATCATTCTCCCCACAGAACTTAGGTTTCTGTGAAGCAGGTGGGAGTTCATAGTGTTGAAGACCTGAGATGGGCACAGGAAAGGTGGAATATAGGAACAGGAAGAAGAAAATATGGGAGCTATAGAGGCCTGGTCTCAAGAACAGTGTGTGTGTGTGTGTGTGTGTGTGTGCGCGTGTGTGCGTGCGTGCGTGCGTGCGTGCGTGCGCGCGCGCGTACGTGTATACTGGTACTGGGGCTTGAACTCAATTTCTCATTTGGCTTTTTCATTCAAGGTTGGCTCTCTACCACTTGAGCCACATCTCCCCTTCTGGCTTTTTGCTGATTAATGAGAGGTAGAATCTCACAGATTTTCTTTCTGTCTGGGCTGGTTCTGAATGGTAGCATCAGATCCCAGCCTCCTGAGTAGTCAGGATTACAGGAATGAGCCACTTGTACCCAGCTAAGAGCAGCTTCCTTTGCCAATCTCCTGTCCTTCTTTCCCCTTGTCCTCAGTGCCAAAGTTTTATTTTATTTTTTATTTTTTTGCTGATCCTGGGGCTTGAACTCAGGGCCTGGGCTCTGTCCCTGAGCCTGTCTGTGCTCAAGGCTGGTGCTCTAGCTCTTGAGCCATAGCGCCACTTCCGGCTTTTTCTGTTTATATAGTACTAAGGAATCAAACCCAGGGCTTCATGCATGCTAGCAAGCCCTCTACCACTGAGCCACCTTCCTAGCCCCAATGCCAAAGTTTTAAAGCTTCTGCTCCTTAGAGCAGACCTCTTCCTCAAAGAATGTCTCCAAATCCTAAATTATCTTCCCTTGATGTTCCTTAGTCCAAATCAACCCCTACTCAACCAGTCACCATACGTTACCACCTTGGATTAGTTTATACTAGCCTAGGAAACACTATACTGAAGGCCTGTCTTCTGACAGGAAACCATTCAACCCAAAGAACTCTCTTCAGCTAATGAAATTTCTTTCACTGGGATTCCATAGGCAGGGGCTGTCATCTGCCTTTCCCATTTTCAGGAACCTTTGTGGGGGACCCTGGGGGAGGGCAGGGGCGATGGAATGGCGGTTCCACATATATCTAGACCTTGGTGAGTTGGATTTCATAGGATATGGGAACAGTGCCATAACTTGGGGAGGGTTGGGCACGGCAGAGGAGACCGGCTTGCCTGGCATGTTGACACAGACTAGAAGCAGAGGAGAGGTGCCAGGAGAGTGGGAGCAAGCAAGAAATGCTACTGGGTCTTGAGCTACGTTCTCAAGGGCTCAGTTTGTTGTTCTGTAAGATGGAGATGGATGTGGCTTATAGCCAACGTAGGAAGCTGTAGCCCAGGACAACCCTCTGGATGGTCTGCTCTCTTCCCCCCAGGTGATTGACAAGAACTCCGGTGGCTGGTGGTATGTGCAGATCGGTGAGAAGGAGGGCTGGGCCCCTGCGTCCTACATCGATAAGCGCAAGAAGCCCAACCTGAACCGCCGCACCAGCACTCTCACCCGGCCCAAGGTGCCGCCGCCCGCACCCCCCAGCAAGCCCAAAGAGGTGGACGAGGGCTGCGCAGGGGCCGGGGACAGCCAGGCCTCCCCGCTGAAGCTCAGGTATGAGGAGCCCGAGTATGACATCCCTGCTTTTGGCTTTGACTCGGAGCCGGAGCTGAGTGAGGAACCTGCAGAAGATAGAGGTGCGGGGGACAGGCGGCCTTCCCAGCCTCGCAGGCCCTCCCCAGCCTCTTCCCTGCAGCGAGCCTGCTTCAGGGTGGGTGGGTCTTCTGAGGACGTGGCCCTGGAGGAGGAGACCATCTACGAGAACGAGGGCTTCCGGCCATGCGCAGAAGACGCCCTGTCAGCCAGAGGCTCCTCCGGAGACAGCGACTCCCCTGGGGGCTCCTCACTGTCCCTTGCCAGGAAAAACTCCCCCAAGTCCGGCTCCAACTCCCCCAAGTCGTCATCACTTCTAAAACTCAAGGTAGAGAAGAATGCCCAGGCAGAGCTGGGGAAAAACCACTCCTCAGCCTCCTCCTCCTCCATCACCATCAACACCACCTGCTCCTCTTCCTCCTCCTCCTCCTCCTCCTCCCTGTCCAAGAACAGTGGTGACCTGAAGCCCCGCTCCGCCTCGGATGCGAGCATCCGCGGTACCCCCAAGATCGGGGCCAAGAAAGAGGCGGAGGTGAGGGCTGGGCCCACCCCCTGTGCCCGCACCAAGCCCTCCATCCGGCCCAAGCCGCTGCTCAACCGTGCCGAGTCCCAGAGCCAAGAGAAGATGGACATCAGCACTTTAAGGCGTCAGCTGAGACCCACGGGCCAGCTCCGGGGGGGCCTGAAGGGCTCCAAGAGTGAGGATTCAGAGCTGCCCCCCCAGACGGCGTCTGAGGGGCCCAGGAGAGGCTCGGCCGATGTGATCCCGCTCCCGGCCCCCACGCCCCCCGGCCCCCCGAGGAAGGAGTGGGAAGGGCAGGCAGCGGCCTACGTGACGTGCAGCGCGTACCAGAAGGTCCAGGACTCGGAGATCAGCTTCCCGGCCGGTGCCGAGGTCCAGGTGCTGGAGAAGCTGGAGAGCGGGTGGTGGTACGTGAAGTTTGGGGAGCTGGAGGGCTGGGCCCCTTCCCACTATCTGATGCCCGACGAGAGCCAGCAGCCCAGCCCTTCCGGCAAAGAGCAGGCGGAGCCGGCAAAGAGCAAGCAGAGCCAGGGCAAGTCCGACAGCCTGGAAAGCGCCGAGAAGCGGGTGCAGGCGCTGAACACGGTGAACCAGAGCAAGAGGGCCACGCCGCCCATCCCCTCCAAGCCCCCCGGCGGCTTCGGCAAGACAGGCACCGCCGCCGTGAAGATGCGGAACGGGGTGCGGCAGGTGGCCGTCCGGCCCCAGTCTGTGTTCGTGTCCCCGCCACCCAAGGACAACAACCTGTCCTGTGCCCTCCGGAGGAACGAGTCGCTCACCGCCAGCGACGGCCGCGGTGTCCGCCGCAACTCCTCGTTCAGCACGGCGCGCTCCGCCGCCGCCGAGGCCAGGGGCCGCCTGGCCGAGCGCGCTGCCAGCCAGGGCTCCGACTCCCCGCTGCTGTCCGCGCAGCGCAACTGCATCCCCGTGTCCCCCGTGCGCCCCAAGCCCATCGAGAAGTCCCAGTTCATCCACAATAACCTCAAGGACATGTACGTCTCCATCGCAGACTACGAGGGCGACGAGGAGACGGCAGGCTTCCAGGAAGGGGTATCCATGGAGGTGCTGGAGAGGAACCCCAACGGCTGGTGGTACTGCCAGATCCTGGATGAGGTGAAGCCCTTCAAAGGCTGGGTACCCTCCAACTACCTGGAGAAGAAGAACTGACTGGGAGCGTGGCGTCCTTCCAGCCACCACCAAACCAATAGTGGCACACATACACACATACACTCGGGGAGGGACAAAATGGGAGGTGGGGAGGGAGGGAGGACAGCATTGAGCCCTGCAGCATCGGCACCCTCAAAGGTGCCCCCAGCGGCTCCTCACCTGGAAGGGAGGCAACGCTGGAAGAAGGCGTTAGGAGGGGAGTCCTAGGCCTGGAACCCACCGTACACCTTGGTGTAGCCTTCACAGGTAGACTGCATGGTCATTTGAGACGAGGCCACGCAGGGAGCCCCAATCACGCCTTTGCTCCAAATCTGGAATATCACGTCATGGGGGAGGAAGGGTCTGCAGTGTTCTGACCCCTACTTGGCTGTTGTAGTGACTGGCTTCATGCCACTGCAGCTAGCCCTTGATTCTCATTAATAGATGTTAGTGATTGAGCTGGCTTCCGGAGACCACCATAGCCTTCCACGGGTGGACACATCACCCACCCCTGGCACTGAGGCTGGGCAGCGTCTCTGTGAGCTCAGTCCCTCCCTGAGCCAGGCCACTTCCATGTGTGTTGGAGGAAAAGTAATTCCCAGGTGCCAAGTGCCACCGTTCACCACCACCATCGCTACCCTGGCCTTGAGAACAAGGGTGCCTGCCTTCCTGGGGCAGCCGGGGGGTGGGGGGGAGGGGGTTCATCATTTGCACATGACTGCCCGGTATTTCCAGCAGTGGTGAGTGGTCCCTTGGCATATTTGGGGACAGGTTTATTGGTTTGGGGGTTCTTTATTTTCGTTCGGGAGACTGAGGTGGTCAGTCTCACATGGGAAAGGGGGGGGGGGGGGGCTTTTCTGTTGTAGTCTATGGAAGGCTATTTTGTTTGGGTCTGGGTTTCATATTCTTGCCCTTCCATAAACCGAGTCGTTTTTGTTTGGTGTCCACTGTTTGGACAGTGTCCAAGCCCGGTGCTTGCCAAAGGCTTCGGGGGCTGGGGATGACCAGGCCCCAGGCTTGGCAAAACATTTTAACTGTCTGGTTCCTGCCCAACATTGATGAGGTTAAAGAACCCTCCCCAAGAGGGAGGGAAGGTGTTGTAAGCAGCCAGACCTTAGAGAGGCCACTCCCGGGCTGCGGGGTGACCCTCCGCTCTCTGTATGTTCACCCCCACTGTACGGGGCTGAAAGCAAGCCTTAGGTAGGACCTGCCGAAAGCAGTTACGGCCCCACCCAGGGCCAGACTGGAGCAGATACCACCATCAGCCCTCTGAACCTACTGGCAATGCCACAGGTGCCTGAGAAGATGGAGGGCCTGTGGTGCAGAAACAGCCTGGTCTTCTCCAGGGGCTGTGCCCCAGTGAAGAGAGAAGCGAGAACACCAAGTCCCCTGCCACCCTCTGTCAACCTCAGGCTGTGTTGCCCATGGTTGGCATTTCAGAGGGGACCCTCCAGAAAGAAGGCCTTCAGCCTCCTCAAGGACTCAACTTTTGCTGGGAGTGGATTTCCGCACGTGCCTTTAATTTCAGACAGAGCAGGCCTCACAGCGGCCAGCTGACCAACCAAGCTGCCAGAACCGCTGGACTAAGGCGTCTGCTTTCCACCAAGGAGGACAGGCCTCCTCCTTCCCACGCAGGTCAGCCAGGACCCAGTGTCTTGGTGCCATCCACCCCCCACCCCTGTCCTTTACCATACACCAGTGCCTGGCAGCTATGGCAAACTGCACGTGTTCTTTGTCAAAGGGCCATGGTGAGATTGTTTGGTTTCTTTTCGTTGTTGTTTATGCATTTGACTTAGAAATTGAAATTAGTTATTTTCTTCTGCTGGACAGTATTAAATAGAGCAGGATATTGTGTTAATCTGCTAGATTGCAGTACTAATGGTAGTGTAGTGTCTTCATATTAATATTATTTGTACTTATTTGAACAATAATGATAAAGAAGTGGTTCATTATTTTTAATTAATGCACTTTAAATACGGTGGAATGCAAAGAAACCCAGAGAACCGAGTGCATTACTTAAAGATGCAGTATATACTTTTCTCATTTTTAAACAGCACATATTTATTAAAAGATGAAAAAAGTAATTTATGATTATTTAAAATAAAATTTAAAAGTAGAGGGACTGTTGGGTGAAAGGACCTTCCAGGGGGAGGGCTACGGCCCCACACCTCAGATGCCTGTGCTGAGTCAGTTCAGTCACCAGAGTCCAGCTGGCCAGGAGGGAGAGCAGCATGGCTGCCAAGCATAGAGCATCTCAATTGGACTGGACCACAGTGCTCCCCAGAGCCTGCCTAGCCCGCCCTTCCCCATCTTCCGTACTGCCCGCTATGGATCTCTGCCACCCACATTCTCCTGCTCCCTCCCCTCCCCCCCAAAAAAAAACACCCTGATCTCTAGGGCTCTGAAGCCATCATGTCATTAAAGGGCAAGATTGGTAGGGACCTAGGAAGTGAACACTTCCCATGTCTTCCTGTTACTTTAACCCAAGAATGGGAAATGACTTTCCCTAAATCACCCAGCTAGTTAATGGCAGGTTTCCCTCCACATTGATCCTGTGTTCCTCCCCAGCCCTGTTACAGATTATTGTGTGGCCATCATGTTTACATTGTGACCTCCAGCCCCAAGGATGGTTGGGAGTTGCTCAGGCATCCAGGAAAAGTGGGAGATGCTGCCACCTGCTGGCAGCATGTGGAATTGAGCAGTGTTTGCACTGCACCTTGCCCCCCTCCATCAAACCCCTGATTCACAGCACAGCACAAACCCCTGCAAACCCAAAGAATATTAATACTTGAAGAAGGGTGCATGCCAGTCCTCAGGCACAGCCAGGGGTGCCAGGCCTGTGCCCCTGGACTCCTAGCCCTGCCCAGGCAGGAGGGCCTTTTCCCTAGAGCTACTGAGCTGTTTTGTGATGTTGGAGCACACTGCCAGCAGAGCAGAAGGTGCTGCCAGCACAGCGGAGGACGGGAGGCCTGGGCTCTGACTCACCTGGAGGAAAACCAGATCAGACTAAAAGGCAAAAATGAAATCTCAGCAGCATCCAAACCTAGTTTTCCATTCGTTGTGATTGAAAATGTGAAATATTGTATTGCTGTATACTGCAACTTTAATCCTAATGAGCCCTTCTGAGGTCATTATTGCGGTTTATATAATGCCGGAAGATGCATCATTTGGTGCTTTGTTTTTCTTTCAGCTTAAAGTCCTTTTTCTTTTATGATAAGGGGGAAAAGCTCTCCCACTTACACTCTGTCATAGCCAACCTGGCTCCTCCATGTTCTTTTGTCTAGGATATGGGATCTGGGGTGGGGCAGCACGAGGGACCTGGAAGGTTCCCTCCTCCCTGTGGCTGTGGCCAGGTCCTGTTTGCTGGGACCTTGGCAGAATCCATCCATCCCCAGCCTGGCCCCAAAGGTTCCTCTTTGTGTGGGTCTTTCTCTTGATTCTCCATTGGACGAAGGCATTATATAGAATCACTATAATCAGTTTCAGATGTTAGAGCGGCATATTTTACTGGCATTTGTATCCATTGCTTTCCTCAGCAAGGAATGTTACTTTTTATCATCTAAGGAAAAAAAGACAAGGGAATTTCGGCCAAGCATTATTTTTTCTATTACTAGTACTTGCAGAGTAGACGTAGAATTATTTAAGTTTAGACCTTGGTTTGGTAGTTTTTGTTTTTAAGGGGCAAAGAAAAATGAACCAACCCCTGCTTTTCCTATTTTTATATTTAACTGATAATATTATTTCCTTAAGGTTACTCACTTCCCCTGCTCCCTCCAAATACTTTGCATTCTCAATGGAAAATGAAAACAGTCTGAGACAGGAAAGTGCAATATGACCAAGAGAGATGCCAGGGCTCACTGACCCCACGGCCCAGTCTGCAGGAGGCATGAGGGGGCTGCTGGAAGGAATTGGACTGGGGGAACACCCAGGTGGGTTTCCTTGGCAAGAATGGAAGGGCTCTAGAGGGCAGCCTCTTTTTCTGTTGGGTCTTGTCCACCCAGAAGAAAGGGATTCAAGGAAGTAACATGGGCCTTTGACCTCCCAGGCCCAGTCCCCAGAGCAGAGCAGGGACATCCAGGAACTGCTCCAGGTTTTCGTTTTTGTTTTTTTGCAAGCCAGCTGCTCAGAGACACCTGTCCTAAAAGTGACTCCCAGCAGCCCTCCCTCACCCCAGGCTCCTGATGTTTGGGCTATGAGCCTTTTTAATATGTGTCTGAGTTCTTTGGAGAACAATGGAAGCTCAGTTTGGTTAGTGGGCAAGAACCCTAGATGTAACTAAACCATTGGGAGGGTGCCGGTGCCTTAGGCCTTGTACACCCAGTGAAATGCAAGTCCCACAACCCTGCAGCAGGGCCTGACGGCTGAGCCTTGGCCACCGTTCATCTCAATGACATCACTGTGAGGAGTAGGCCCCACTTCAACCCAGGCAGGCCTCAGGAGTCCTGGGACAAACCCAGGAGCCCTGTGCCCAGCTGTCTGCAGACGGAAGCCCTCGTGACAGGTACCAAGCCAGCCTCCTTCCGTAGGGCCAGTGCAAGTGGCAGGGCAGAAGGCCCCTCTGGCCCCAGCCCCTGGAGCTCTGCCTCCCACAGCAGTGAGCACGCCCATGCCTGGCTCAACCCCTCCACCTTCAGTACTGTAAGCTTGCTGCTCCAACCCTCATTTGCTGAATTTCTGTATGGATATGGATGTCTGTGCTGGAGTGGGGCTGTGCCTGCGTGGGTCTTTCTTGGAATAGAAACATCCACATGTCCAGACACTGAGAATCTCTACGCAGAGCTCTCTGGAAAGAGAACAACAGTCCACATTGCTAAAGAATAAGATTCCCTCACTTTTTTGAGGGCTGTGTGTTGAGAAAATGTGTGTGTGCCTGTGTGCTTGTGTGCGTGTGTGCTGGTAATTTCCCACTTGAATTATATAACATGGGGTTAGAGAAGAAAATCCTGGGCAAGCTGTCTCCATTGAACAGTCTTTGGCCTTGGGCAGGTCCCAAGGGACTCAGCTCTGGCAGCAAGTTTATGTGTGCCATTCACACACACAATCCCGGCTGGAGAGTGCAATGTGTTTTCCCCCACTTTGATAATTATTGTATTATTTAGTTGGAAACGTCACACTGGCATTAACAGATCTAGCAGAAGCAGCCTAAGGCCTTAATTCCTGGGTCCAAAAAGCAGCCATGGAAGAGAGATGACGAAGTCAGGACACCCACCTGGCAGGCCTCCTCCCAGCCGGCCTCCTGCATCAGAAGCCACGTGACCTGAGAGCTGCCGGCCCCTGGGCTCTTGTTTCTGAGGGAAGGTCAGGCTGAGCAGGGTGAGAACCGGCTGGAGGTGGGTTCTACAGGAGCTACATGTGCATTTATGGCAGCACCTACTGTCTCTACCACAGGCCTGGCCGCACACCTCATGGTAGTATGAAGGCATCCTAGGGACTGAGTTTTCTCCAGCTAAATCTGTTTGGAATGGTGTCTTCTTCTGAGGTTCTGAAGGTCTATCATCAAAGCAAGTGAGAGGACAGGGTCAGTGACCTATAACCTCAGCCCCACTAGTTGTAACTTCCCTCCTGCTTTGTCCTGGGTGCATGCTGGCATATGGACTGGTGGAAGGCGCTACCTTCCAGAGCCTTGGTGCCAGCCTGCCTATGACGCTGGGGTTCACATGAAATTCCCCTCTCCCAATCCTATCTTTCAAGTCTCAAATTTGCACTTGACCTTGACAATCAGCATCCTTTCCTATCCCCTTCCCAGAACATAGTGGCCTTAGAGGGTAGTGGTTCTCTGTGCTGAAGGTCCTTGCCTTGCTCAGCCCCATCCTGGCCAGTGGTTTGCACGTTAAGAGGTTTGTGTGAGAGAATTCTTTTAGAGGAAGATGGATTGAGCAAGTTGGAGGTGGGTGAGAGGCATGTTGACGACGTGTGTGTGTGCATGTCATGTATGTACGCATGTGGTTAGGGCTTGCCTTCCCTTCATGGGAGGACATGGATGAAAAGGATGTCTTCCATGCAGAAAGGGTGTGGGAAGGCTGAAAGATAGGAGTTGTGCTTTGTCTTTATTGAAGGAACAAGCCAATGCTGAATGTGTCAGGAAGGAGAGCAAGTGCACAGGGGTTTTTATGACTTAACAACCACAAGTCCAGCCAGAGCTGGAGACAGGGAAATCCTTCCTATTTGACCATGGAAGCTAGTCAAACAGTTTTTCACTGGGCCACAAATTGAGTCCCAGCAAATGGTCAGCAGGTGGAGAAGAGGTGTTGCACCTAAACAATTGTTCATTTTAGAGGCCATTTCCAGAAAACAACATTCATCTCCAAAGTTCATCACAGATTTTTCCCACTACCCTTTGTCCAATCCAAAGCTAGATTGTGGGGTTATACAAATCAGAAACCAGTGACCATAAAGGGCCATGCAATAGGGGCCCACCATCCCCAAACTGGAACTCAAGATTCAGACTTCCTCAGGCCTATCCGAGGTGAAGAGAACCTGTCAGCCTCCCACTAATGGATTATCTCAAGGTTCTCTGATCCTCCATTGTTCCATTTGCTGAGCCTGCCTGCCTGCTAAGAATTAGGCCAGAACTGCACACCCAACCAGGATTATGCTCTTCTAATTGTTAGTGGTTTCTCACCAAGGCACACAGCTCAGTTTATGTCAGAGAAGGATAAATGGCCACCTTGAATTGGCAACTTACTCCACGCAAGATATTTTCTGTGAATGCAGGACACGGGGTAGGGAATGGGTGTCTGCCAGCTTCTGAGGTGTGCAGGAAAATGGCTGAGGAGCAAGATGGATAAGCGGGGTCTCTGAAGCATGGGTATTGGCTTGTATGGCTAGAGGTGAGCTGGTAGATATGGCTGGGGCTCTGGAACTTTGAGTTCTTCCTGCTGTCCATCCCCTACCCAGCTCCTAGTAGGACCCTAGGAGCCCACTCCAAGTCCTTTCTCCAGGTTTTTTCCTCTTTCCCCTTGGCAGAAAAACTGGAGGAAAAAAATGAATTCAATACAGTGCAGTCCACGTGAGTGCTGAAATATTTCCAGGATCAATGGTGGTGCTAAACTATCTCCAGGTTTCTGGTATTTATAATAGTTTTCTTAAAGTCTCATCACACCTTGGGAAACGGACCCGACCCCTTGGCCTGCCATCTGGCAGGTGTCCTTTATCACTTTCACGGGACTGTTGGTCTGCAGAAATGCTCTGCCTTGGCATGCTTCTAGACTGTAAGATTTGGGTTGTTTTGTATTTTGTTTATGTTTACATGCATCTTGTATTTCCCTGAAAACTAAATAAAGGTGTTTTTTTTTGTCTTTTTAAATCACTTAATTCTTGACATCAGATTCCATCTCAGTACATGGGGGCCACAGTCCCCATTGTGTTCCTCCAACCCTCCTTAGCTTGGGGAGGATTTCATGAGAGTGGCCAAGATGGCTCCCATCTCCAGCATGTTTGACCCTAACCTGCTTGTACTAGACTCTGTAAGCAGGCAACACTGGTCCTGCTATGGGGGGGTTAAGGCCAGCCCAAACTGGGCAGCCAGACCATCCTCCCAAGAAGGTAGGAAGGCAGGCATCCCATGTACCCACACGGCCCAGCCAGATGACTGATGCCAACATTATGTCTAGACGTTGGCCTGTTTCCCCACTTTGCCAGCCATCAAAAAGTACTTAGCACGTCTAACTGCTCTGCACAGGTTCTCAGTTCAGAGACCTCCATTTTTTCCCCAGCTATATCCACCAGTGGGAACACAGCTGAACTCCAGTCCCTGGTGACCAGAATGAAGACCTGTAATATTCCCCCTCCAACCTCTAGGTGTCGCGTTCCACCGCACAAGCCTCTTCATGGCCTCCTACTGCTCCCATGCCATCACACCCTTTTCCCAGACACAGGGGCCTGTGAACACTGGAATTTCCGGACTGCCTGGCTTTCCAGCCTCTGCTCTAGACCCCAGGCCATGCACAAAACCCCCACACCAGGGAGCCTTCCCTACCTGATTGTTTCAGCTCACCTTGGGAGCTCAGAGGCCTGCCCAGGGCCACACCTAAGGACAAATGACCCATACATACACACGGACCTCCCTCCAGCCCTCCAGCTGGTATGACATCACCTTTATTCACAATCACAGCAACCCGAGTTCACAAAGCTGGTGGTGGCTGCCCCACCGCTAAAAGGATGGACAATGGCTTGTTTTCCTCCATCTCCTGCTGGCAGGCAGCCTCTGCATCTCACACTGTTCTTTGCCTTGCGGGCGGACCCCCAAATGGAATGGGCCATTCACTGGCTAGGTCTCCCAGGGCCATGGAGAGTTGACTTCCCACAGCCCCTCAGGCCTTTGCCAGAGCTGGGTTCCTGTTCCCTGGGCTTCTGCACCACACCACTCTCAGCAGCCTCCCCCAAGGGCCAAAAAGTCTGCCGAACTACCCCTTTTTATAGGAAGCAGGGGTCAGAAGGTGACCACCAGACCAGGGCCATATGACTAGTCAGTAGTCAGGACTAGAACCCCAGGCCCAGCCTGTCACAGAAGAAACCACCCCTGAGGATGCAAAACAGCTATCTGGGGGTACAGGGGCTGGGATGCTGGCGAGTCAAGGCCAAGATTCCACACTAGCTTGGGCTAGGGTGGGAAGGCAGAGGGGACTCACTGAATGGTGTCAGGGGCGCCACTTCCCCCTCTCCTTTCTGCAGACCCCAGAGGTGCTGTTAGAAGGCCTCACCTTCCAGCATTACTGGGGCAGCACCTTTCCTAAGAGCAGTGGGGAACTGGGGCCCCTATGACAAAGGCCCTTAGCCATTCCCCAGCCCACATGGGCTCCCTCTCTCAGCCTTCCCAGGACCCTTGAAGCCCCCCTGGTGGGGGGGAGAGGGGGAGGGGAGACAACTTCCTGGTCATCTGAGACCCCTTTTGCAACCCAGCTCCCAGGAGCACTGTGGGGCTCCCACTGGGCCACCAAGCCCAGGGGAGCCCTCTGGAGGCTCATTTGCCTCTCTGCACGACCGACTCCAGGAGAACTCCAGCCTGGCCCCTTTGGGGGAAGTTCCAACTCAGACAGGTGGCCGTGGGCTTTGTGGCGGGGGCATGGGATGGATTCTGAGTGATGATTCTGCTGCCACGTACTTGGTACCTCACATACATGGCAGCTTTTCTAAGAGCCCCAGATCAAGGGTTACCCACAAATAAAAACCGAGAACCAAATAAATAAATAAATAAACATAAGGAGAAGAGCTACTCCCAGCCCAGGGAATCCCCTCCCACTGGGACCCTGGCTCCTTCTGGGCACATGATGGCTAATGAGGCCACTGCCCAGTTTCAGGCCCAGGTGGGCACTGAGATGTGGGAACAGAGGCCCGAGGTGGGTGGCTGCAGACTGTTCTTAAGAGACCCTACCAGCAGACAGACTCACCCCCGCCCATACCAAAGGGCATCTCTGGGCAACAGCACCCAGCGAGATGCTTGTGGCAGAAGGCTATACCCAGCAGGGGTCGTGGCCATGGCAGCTGAGCCTAAGCCCTCTGCAACCTGGGTGGGAGGAAAGATACATGGCACAGAGGCTGCGGATACCTGGGGGAGAGGAGTCCACTGCCAGGCCCAATACACAGAAAAGCAAAGACAGAGGCGAGCACAGGTGTGGAGTGAGATGCCCCTCAGGAGCTGCTCGCCCAGGGCCTGTTGAACAGGTTGTGTGCTGCTCAGTGGCAGCAGGCTGAAGGAGCAAACAGATGCAATATCCAGTCCCTACTCCCCCAGCCAAGCTGCGGACCCTCATTTGGGAATGCCCAGAAGAAGACAGGCATTTTCTAATTCTTGCCAAAGTGCCCATATGGGCCACAAGAACCTCCTGAGAGGGGAGGGGCTGCAACAGGCTGAGACCCCAGTTTAGCCCCTCAGCATGCAGGGAAGAGCTGGCTGCAGAAAAGAGAAGATGGGGCGTGGCCTCTCCCGGTGATGTGCTTCCGCCCTCCCTCCTTCCAGGCCCCTTTCTCAGCCCAAACCTTCAGGGCCTTCGTTTCCCATGATGAATAGAAAAGGAGCAGCAGTTCCCAACAGAAGAAAAGAGGCCTAAGAGCCTAGCCCTCAGCTGGCATGGGCCTGAAGTCTGCAGAGATGGATGCAGAGGGTGGGGCTCCACCATGGGGCTAGGAGCTTCGGTAGGTCTTGATGATGTCTTTGATGGGGCGGCGGCAGATGGGACAGCAGGCGTGCAGAGCCTTCTTGAGACGCAGGCCGCAGGCGTAGCAGAGGCACATGTGACCACATGTGTAGATGACTGTGTCCACCGTGTGTTCGTAGCAAATGGTGCACTCAGAGCTCCACTGGCTGGAACTCAGTGGAGAATCAGGCAGGCTCACTGGGGAATTGGGGACTGTCCCTGAGGGGAAAGGAGCATCAGTCAGGAGGTCCTGGCCCAGAGCTCTGGCAGCGTGCTCAGCTCCAGACCACAGCTAGGTGATGGGAGGCAGGGATGGGGAAGAAAAGGGGCCTCACGCCTTCTAAGGCAAGATGCCCCGAGCTACTTTTGGTCACTCCATGTGCGCTGAAAACTCCTCTGGAGAAAGCTTCCCAGCTAGGGAACAGAAGGGACCTGCCCGATGTCTCTACCCAACAAGGCTTGACTGAGCCAGGTTCTAGCTCCTCTGTTCTAGTCTACAGGGAAAGGAGAAGGAGGGAGGAAGGAAAGGAAAGAGTGGGAGAAGGAAAGAGGGAGAGGGAACGGGAGGGGTGGGAGGGAGGGAGGACAAGAAGGACCTGAGAAGAGAAGGAAGGCTGAGAGGAAGAGAAGAAGGAAGGCAGGCCAGCGGACTCACCACCAGTAGAGCTACTCAGAGGTCCAGAGCTGCATGTGCTGAGCAGCGGGTCTGAGAGGCGGCTGCCCAGGGCACTGGGTGAGGTTGGTGTGGAGGCAGGGGAGCAGGGGAGCGATGGGACACCCCGCTCAGCCAGGATGGTGGAGCCTGCAGAAGGGGGAAGACCACACTTACCACCAGCCAATGGATAACGTCAAGGCTCCACTCCCACAGTGGGCTCCCAGGCCTGACCACAGGATAGCCGTGGGCAAAGTCCCCATCTCCCTCCTGCTGTCTGAGCCCCATGTTCTTCGCCACAGTCCCCAGGCTTCACCCACTGACTCTTCGGAAAAGCATACGCCTCCTCCCCCAGGTTGTGGTCCCGTGTCCTTTCCTTCATCCCTCATTCCTCTCTCCCCAGTTCCCTCCTGCTCTTTCCTTCTATAAATTCTAAGGCCCACTGTGCACACTTAAGGCTGGGGACAGAGCTCTTGCCATCAAAAGACCTGGTTGTCCAGGGAAACGCCACTTCCAGGGAGCCTCAACACCCTCCACACACACACACAAAAAAAAAATCCACGTGCACCAACCACCTACGCACCTAGCATGGACTCAGGATTGAACAACTACAGAGCCTGGGATATTCTGGGTTCTTTGCCCAGGAATCCAGTGCTGCTTCTCCAGTTGAGCCACAAATGTTCAAAGAAAAGGAAAGGTCACTGGCTCCTCTATCTGCCCTAATAGAACACTTTGAGGGTGCTGAGTAAGATATTTCATTATTATAACATATTATTTCTAGGCATAACCAGTGGATGCTCATAAGGTTTCTCTTACTGTGTTAATATTTTTTGTTTGGTTTTGGCTTTGGTTTGGTCATGGCCTGGGCGTTGTCCCTCAGCTCTTCAGCTCAAGGTTAGTGCTCTACCACTTGAGCCACAGCTCCCCTTCCCGTTTTATGAGTAGTTTATTGGAGATAGAGTCTCACAGCCTTTCCTGCAGGGGCTGGCTTTGAACCACGATCCTCAGATCTCAGCCTCCTGAATAGCTAGGATTACAAGCCGGCGCCTGGCTTGTGTTAATATTTTTAAAGTTGATCTTTTTTTGGGGGGAGGGGTCCGGTCGTGGGACCTGAACTCTGGGCCTGGGCACTGTCCCTCAGCTCTTCAGCTCAAGGCTAGCGCTCTACCACTTGAGCCACAGAGCCATTTCTGGCTTTTTTTTTTTTGCTTATGTGGTGCTGGGGAATCGAACCCACGGCCTCATGCATGCAAGGCCAGCCTTCTACCACTGAGCCACCTTCCCAGCCCCAAAAACATGCCTCCTATTTATTCTCCTTGCCTTTTTGCACAGGCTAGCATTGTCAGAGCCGTGTCTATAAGGCATCCTTATTATATTTCTGTCTTTAGTGACAGTATTTCTAATATTCCACCAGTAAATATGAATTGGCAGTGGGGTTTGTGACACATATGAGCGAGGGAAATAGCCTTCCATTCTTAGTTTACCGAGGCCTTCCACAAAGCTAACCACTGCTCTATAAAGTAAATGAGGACCCTTCACACATCACCACTGATTAGTTTTTCCTTTAGAATCAGTCAGGATCCTCCAAATACCAGCTTTCTAGCTCAAATACCCAATCCTCCAAACCACTCAGGAACACTGTACTTTAACAGATGTTGAATTCTGGATGGTTCTTCTTCCATATCCACTTGACCCACTTATCACTTGAGACAGAAAAGTCTTGATTTTTCTCTCTCTTAATTCTCCTTTGCTCCAGTCTTATAAACCTCTTTGGATGACAGAAGCTTGCTGGAAAGCTCCTTATCTATTATTAGATGCTGCTGACGCAGGAGAGTACCTTATCCCTGTGTCATTTCCTTTCTCTGAGGATCTGAGCAGTGTCTCTCACTGAGCACAGCCAATTATCTTTCACCTGAGCTTTATTTTTCCCCTTAATCCAATTTCATTTTATTCCATCTTGAATTCTCAGGCCAGTCTAGCTCATCTGCCTTTCTGCTTGATTTCACTGAACCTAATTTCATTCCTTCGTGTTTTATTTTCCCTGGATTCTACCTTCTTAGCACCGCAGCCTCATTGCTTTTCATTGCTTTTCTCTCTTTCACTCTACTTTCATTTGGTCTCTCTAAAGACTACAAGCATTTAGTTATGTAAACACACATGACCTACAAGGAAGAGCACATTGGTGCACATTTACCTGCTCTATCAAACCTCCTGGGCTGAGGCTGGGGGTCGTGAGGCTGAGGGCACTCCAGCTTGGCATATTCTGTGGTGTGTGTGTGTGTGTGTGTGTGTGCATATTCTGTGGTGTGTGTGTGTGTGTGTATGTGTGTGTGTGTTTGTTGCCCAGAATCTCTGGAGGGAGACTCAAGAATATGAAGTTTACTAGGTCTTCCCAGTGAGGTTAATGAATATAGTTCAGTCTAACAGGGCTGGTTAGTAGACCAGGGCTGCAGATTATAAACACCTGCCCTCTGGAGTAATATGGATGCCAGGGAATGCTTCGTGCAAAGGAAAAAAGATTTCTGAACAAATTAGCTCGGAAAACTGTAGACCTCAACCACTCTATTTAAAGATTCACACTGCAGCTGAGCACTGGTGGCTTACACCTGTAATCTTACAAAGGAGGCTGAGAGCTGAGGATTTCCATTTGAAGCCAGCTCAAGTAGACAACAGCACCACATATTAAAGGCTCTGAGAAATCTTGCAATAGAGAATCCTCCCACTGCTCTATTCAAATCAATGTTTCCCTAACGTTTTAGCCACATGGCCCCTTTTTCAAAACAACAACAACAAAACTATGAACATTCCACACAACAATCTGGGAAGTATGGTTACACTTCCAATCCATTAAAACTCTGTGTCCCCCTAAAAAAAAGATCTAAAATTCTGCAATCCCATTTCTCTCAAGGTTGCCTGCTCAGAGATTCCTCTTCCCACCTCACCTCACACCCCACCGGGCAGACAGAAACCCCTGACATACCAACCTGTGTTCACAAGCATCCTTAGGGCCACTGGCCCTGAATTCCCATTAACTGCTGGGTGACATGGTCCAAAAAGAAACGTACTCTTCACCTGACTTATGAAACTCTAACTCCTCTGTACTTCATCTTTATAATAACAATAAAAAATTGTTTAAAAAAGTTAAGTGCTGGTGGAAACCATTTCCCCATTTTTTTAGGCGCCCTGGGGTGTGGGGACCTGGGCCCTGAGGTGTGTCTGGGAGTGTGTGTTGAGCAGGCTTTGAACTCCGTTCTTGTGACATTTGAGGACCCTCGGCCTGGACGATGGGGTCTCCCCCAGAACTCGCCTTGGGTATTTGTAGGGGATCTGGGAAGTCCCCGCTCCCCAATCCCACACACACACCCGGAGGGCCTCAGCCCAGCACTCACCGAGGATGCGGACCTGCGTGATGGAGCCATGCAGGCCGAAGAACATCCAGAGTGGCTGCGAGACATCCACGCACAGCTGCATGCCCGCGGCTGCGCCGTTGTGACTCAGGTGCAGCTCGCCGTCGGCATTGACCACCAGGCCCAGGATGTCGCCGCTGTGCAAGGGCCCGGGCACGCGGCACACGGCCCAGAACTCCTTGCGGTCCACCAGGGCTTCGGGGCTGAAGGGCAGGTCGGCGGGCCGCAGCGTGCCGGGGTCGCACGTGGTGACGCCGAAGGAGAGCGCGCCGGGCCGCGCGCCGCCCCCGCCGCTCGCGCGCGTGACCTTAATGAAGATGGTCTCGGCCGCGCGCACGGGCCGGCTGGTGAAGACGAGCGCGCGCTCGTCGCGCCCGTGCTCCAGGCGCGCTACCGTCTGCTCGTCCAGGATGCGGACGTGCGCGCCCGCGCGCAGCGCGTGGAAACGCAGGTCGCCGTCGAGCTGCGCGGGCAGCGCGCGGCTGTGCTGAGAGTTGAGCGAGTTCTGCGGGATCGGGCAGGCCGAGGCCGGCGCGCTCCCGTCGCCGTCGCCCTCGCCGACGGGCACGTTGAGGTCGCACAGGCTCACGGAGAGGCGCGCGTCGTCCGCCTCGCGGCGCAGCGAGGGCCGCCGCAGCGCTGTGAAGGAGCGCGGCCGCAGGCAGTCGGGGGGCACCAGCTCGCTGTCTGCGGCGGGGAGGGCGGGACGGGACGGGGGGGGGGGACAGCCGTCAGGTCACGGATACCGTCAAGGTCAAAGGTCACTGCCAAGGTCACCGCCGCGAACCCACGCCTGCGCCCCGACTCAGCTGCGTTTCAAGTAGGCGCCACTGACACACTTAGCAAATGCTTAACGGCATAAAACAAAAACTGCAGTGACACGAGGGCAGCAAGGTTTAAATAACGGCATGGGGCCAAGGCCATCTCCTGGCTTCTGAATGCTAACAGCAGGCCGGACTTTGTACCAGGTGCACTTATTGTCTGCAGCAAGAGTGCAAGTGTGTGTGTGTGTGTGTGTGTAGGTGTGTGCGCGCACGCGCGTGCGCGTCCTACCTGGACCCTATCCCTTAGCTTTTCCGCTCAAGGCTGGTGCTCTAGTACTTGAGCCACACCTCCACTTCCAGTTTGTTTGGGTTTTTTTCCTGGTTAATTTTAGATAGAAGTCTCTCATATGTGTCTGCCTGATCTTCAGAATTCAGCCTCCTGAGTGGCTAGGATTACAGGCACAAGCCACCAACGCCTGGCTTTCTTTTTTCTCTTTACTTCCTTTTTTTTTTTTTTTTTAGGCAATAGGCCCTAGGTTGATTCCTAGCACTTCCTAGGAGGTAAATTTTTTTCTTAAATTTCAATCTCCCAAGGGGTGACGTTGTCCAAAAAGAAACGTACTCTTTATCTGACTTATATGACTGTAAACTCATTGTACATCACTTTTATAATAACAAAAAAAAAAGTTATGCTGGGCACATCTGTAATCCTAAGTACTCAGGAGGCTATGATCTGAAGATCACTGTTTGAAGCCAGCCCAGGCAGGAAAGTCTGTGAAACTCTTATTTCCAGTTAATCACAGAAAAAAAAAAACAGAAGTGGAGCTGTGGCTCAAGTAGTAGAGTGCTAGCCTTTAACAAAAAGGAGCTCAGGGACAGAGCCCAAGCCCAGAGTTCAAGCCCCAGGACCAGCAGGAAAAAAAATGTTTTAATTAAAACACACACACACACAAATACACACACACACTCAAACTCGGGGGATCTTCCATCTTTAATCCAGCACCTAGAACAATGCCACATTCATAGACAAACCTTCTGTTCCATCTTAACTCTGTAAGGCCAGAGGGAACCCCCACTCTCCTCTCAATCCCCTTGTGTAAACTGTCACATCTAATCCGGACAGTTATCTTTTGAGTTTACCATTGCCACATAAGGACACTGAGCTGAGGGAAGTTCAGGAAATTCATCCAAGAGCTCTTTTACTGGGACTCTGATTCTTCCTCTTCAATCAGACAAGTAATTCAAACTGTATTTTATAGGAAATACAGCTCAACAGAAAGAAAGAACTGGCTGGCTGCTCACCTCCCAGAGGTGATATATTTAGATTATGAATTTGTGGATGTGGTTATGTAGTAGGCTTGTGTGCATGTGTGTCTGTAGGCCTCACGCTCACATTGGGCTTTTTGTTCATAGAGGAGGGTGCTCTATTACTTGAACCATGCCTCCACTTCTGTTTTTTTGCTGGTTAACTGGAGGTAAGAGTCTCTTGGTTTTTGGCTAGATTGCAAGAGTAATCTTCAGATGTCAGCCTCCAGAGTAGCAAGGATTATAGGTGTGAACAACTAACACCAGGCTTTAGTTTTGTTTTATAAAGTTTTAGCTGGTTACTTTTTTAATGTAAACATTGAGTTATGCTATAGAAGTACCAATAGTCCTTTTATGGGTAATAAGCCACTATTTTTGTTGTTGTTGTTGTTGGTTATAGGGCTTGAACTCTGGGCCTGGGCGTTGTCCCTGAGCTCTTCAGCGTAAGGCTAGCGCTCTACCACTTGAGCCACAACACCACTTCCGGTTTTCTGGTGGCTTATTTTTTTTAAAAAAAAAAGGAGGAGGCAACAATGCTGGATAGGAAATGTACTCATAACCTTACTCATGTAACTATAACCCCTCTGTGTACAGTATTTTTACAAACAGTATTTTTTTTGGGGGGGTCCAGTCGTGGGCCTGAACTCTGGGCCTGGGCGCTGTCCCTCAGCTCTTCACTTCAAGGCTAGCGCTCTACCACTTGAGCCACAGCGCCAGTTCCGGCTTTTTTCTTTTTGCTTATGTGGTGCTGAGGAATCAAACCCAGGGCCTCATGCATGCAAGGCAAGGGCTCTACCACTGAGCCACCTTCCCAGCCCCATACAAACAGTATTTTTACAATAAAAAGTGTTATTAAAAATTTTTATTGTGAAAATACCGTACAGAGGAGTTACAATTACATGGGCAAGATAATGAGTACATTTGTCATGAAGCATTGTTGCCTCCTCCTTTATTTCCCCTTCTTATCCCTTCCCCCTACCATCCCCCCCCATTAAAATTTTTTTTAACAAAAGAGTCTTAACAGACTTTCCTGCCTGAGCTAACTTTGAACCATGATCCTTGGATCTCAGCCTCCTGAGTAGTTAGGATTACAGGTATGAGCCACTAGCACCCAGCTTGGTAATAAGCCACTTTTAAAATGTGGTAACTTTAACCTGTCTCCCAGAAAATGCACATTCTCACCAAATTCTCTGGGTAATTCTGGGTATCAGTGAACTGCACAAAGCCTTCCATGGGTGTGGACTCCAGGCTGAGAATCAGAATCCCTCTACACAGAATTGCCTTTCACTGACTGGATTCTGAACACCTCTTCCCCTTGCCAAGAGTGGCTTCCCTTCTGCTATCCAGCTCGGTGGAGGACCTTCATGATGAAAGTAACTTGCAGCGTCATAAATGTCTCTGCATTTCATCCTGAAAACAGCCCATAGAGGCAGTTCCATCTTATGGGTAACACTCAGGGGAGCTGTGCCAGCACCCAAGCACTGTAGATCCAAGATTGGGGAAGGTCTCCTCAGCCCCCAATGTCACCCTCTCCACTTCCAGACTGTCCTTTGGCAAAATCCATGTCCCCATTTGGTCTGGCATCACACCATGACCCAAATTGAGCCCAGTTCCTTCCCAGGACCCTTCTGTAAGTCTCCCTGTGCCTTATGCTAGAATTGGACTCCAGCTGAAGTGTAGGAGCGGTCTCTACAGCCTCCCAATTCTCAGCCCCACTCCCTGTCCCTTCCAAAAACTGTGTTGTCTGGGCCTAATGAGGTTTGGGTGCTGGCCCCTCCCCCAAGTTTCCTGCTGCTCTAGAAACCTCCTGGGGCCTGGCTGGTTGGGGCTTCCCAGAATTGCATTGGCAAGGAGGAGGGAGCCAACCGGAAAACGTGATTATTCCAGGGAATTGACTCTGACAGCAGTGGTGCAGAGCGGCTGGGGGCTGCGTGGAGGCAGAGGCGAGGGGCTTGCACTGAGAGGAAACACGGACAGCAACGCTAGAGAGTCCAAAAGACCTCGGGCTGACCTGCTCCCTGCTCCCTAACCCCTTGGGGATTCCAGTCACGGCCCCCTGGGAACTCCTAGGAGCTAGAAAAGTCAAGGAAGGGAGAGGAAGGGCAAGGAAGGGATCAATCACTCAGAGACGCCCAGCTAGGGCATAGGGGAGCATAAGTATAGATGCCCCGTCCTCAGGAGTCAGTTCAGAGTTCTGGAACAGGGAAGGCCATGATGGGGTAGCACCAGTGAAACTAGGGGACACGGACTCCCTGGAAGGAAGTCAGTAAACAAGAAGGGCCTGGTTCTCTGAATGAAACTGGAGGTGAGCTCGCCCCTTAAGGAGCCTTCTGTAGAAGAAGGCTCCTGAATATGTTCATTTCAGGTGTCACTGTGGCTTAGACAATCTGATTCACTGCTGAGCAAATCTGTTTTCAAGAAAGCTTCTCAGGAAGCAGAGGTAGGAGGATTTTTACCTGCCCCAGCAAAAGCATAAGACCCTATCTGAAAAGTAAACTAAAAGCAAAAGAACTGGCTCCAGTGAGGTCCTAAATTTAATCCCATTGTCACCAAGAAAAGTGAAGGCTTCACATAATGCATCTGAGGTCATCATCCTGGGATTCAAATCCTGCCATTTCCTTACGACAAGATTCTATGACCTTAGACTGACTGGTAGCTTCACTTCTTAACTTCCTTCCTTTAGCAGTGAGAGCTACTGAGTTACAGAAACTCTACATTCTGACTCTCACCTTAGAAGGGGTGCTGGGCAACCTTGCATGTAATCATCATCAGGTTAATATGTGCTGTCATTGTTAGTATTATTTACATGCCATGGGGTTCGGAAGAAAGTGCATGAGCTTTGGGGTGAGTCATGCCTGGCTTTGAATGTCCTGTCTAGAATGTCTGCTGTAAACAGCTTCCTTTCAGCATCATATGGTTCACCTAGAGGCAGTGGTGCCTGTTCTAACAGTGTGACAGAGGTAGGGGAGCAGAAGAGCCCTTGGAACCCAGAAGGTCCCTGATAGCTTCAGATATAAGCATTTTCTTAGGCTGTTTGTTAACCAATGTCAAGTCTACCTGTACTTAGCCCATCAACGTTTTGAACTCCATCAGTCATGGTAAGCACCCAGGAAATATTCTTTTTTTTTTCTTTTTGGGCAGTCTTGGGGCCTAAACTCAGGACCTGGGCACTGTCCCTGAGCTTCTTTTGCTCAAGGCTAGCACTCTACCACTTGAGCTAGTTCCACTTCCAGCTTTTTCTGTTTATGTGGTACTGAGGAATCAAACCAGGGCTTCATGTATGCTAGGCAAGCATTCTACCACGAAGCCACATTCCCAGCTCCCCAGGAAATAGTCTTACATCTGTAATCTTAGCTACTCAGGAGGCTGAGATCAGAGGATCACAGTTGAGGCCAGCCCAGGCAAAAAGTGAGACCTCATCTCAACCAATAAAAAGCTGATGTGATGGCTCAAACCTGCTATCCCAGCTGTGTGAGAGGTATAAATAGAAGAATTGAGGTCTAGGTTAGCCCAAGCAAAAAGTAGGACCTTATTTGAAAAATAATGAAAACAAAAAGGCTAAGGGTATGGTAGGGTGCTTACCTGGCAAGTACAAGGCCCTGAGTTCAAACCCTAGTA